CCCTATAAAACGGCAGATTTTCTCCGGGGTTTGGAAAGAATGGGAAGTGTTAGGTATTTGATAGTTCCAAAGTCACCATTAAGCGTAAGTCATCAATACATCTGCGTTTGCGGCTCATGCTGCGTGAAGTCATGCTCTATGCGATGCTCCATAAAGTGAATTCGACAACAAGACGGTACTGCAGAAACCTAGCCGAAAAACAAGGCTAAAGTGGGCTTGACGGTCCCTTTAAGACGACATTATGTTGCTGCAATTTTCAAGAATTGCCTCAATTTTTGTCTATCACGTCTCCAGCGATAGTACTACAATTTTGTCACGGTCCCTTTAGCGCTAAAACCCTGACTTTTCTGATCCGCATGATCCGCATAAATACCCACCGAACCGGAAGCGCTCCTCCTTACCCAGATTACAGTCCCTATCAGCCCCCCTCGATTCTGGCCCCATCAAAGGGTCACCTGATGACAGCATCATCGCTCACTATCTCCCACCACTGTCACTCATAGTCCGCCGGAGGGCACATCGCCCACCACACTGTCAAGTTGGGGGAAGTGGTCGACTAGTGGGGGTGATGGGGCTTGTACAGAGTAATCCACTGTACACAGGTGGAATAAGGTTGGTGATTTGCATAAAATTGAGGGACTACCGTTCCGAGCGAGCCTGTAAAAAGGATCGTATAGTTCTAAAGTACAGTACTCGCAGATTAAAAGGGACGGTGCAATCTGCTAGCAGACTGGTTTTTGCGAAAGTAAATTTGCGTAAAAGACTTTTCGGCTATTAAACGGAACCGAGTACCGTAGCGCTTTTGTTATACTAATGACAAGTTTAAAGGGACTGTGACCTCATCGGAATCAGTCATCCGTGGTTAGGGGGGTTAGAAAAGATGATTTGCATGAAATCAAGGTTATGTGGTTAAAAATGCGTCGAAAAATTAGCGTACCGTTCCTGGGCAAACTAGGGAATGCTTAAAGAGACCGGAAAACAGACAAGATCACGTTTGAGCGAATTTGGCCATTGGTCATCTCATGCTCTAAAAATTATGCAAAATACAACCCCATTCGAAACCCCTTGCTCCCCTTCAACACCAAATTTACAGCAGTGGTTGTGTTCAAAAATTCATGTGGACTCCCCGAGTTCCCAGGCTCATTCCATCCCGCGTCCCCTCGTTTTTACGAGCTTCGCGCGCGGACTACCCCCGTTGGCTCATCGCTTCGTCGAGTTATTTGGACGGCCCATCCAGCCTTGGCCATTGTTGCCTCCTCACACCATCCATAAGCCCATATTGGCCCATACTGTCGATCGCGCTACGCGAGGCACCGGCTGCCACCAAATGTGACGCGAGGATGAGGCCTAGTCCAAATTATCTAGCGCTCATTTACTCTCTCTCACTCGCTCTCTCTCTCTCCGGGGAGTACAAATTGGTCACATCTTGGCGGGGGGGGGGGTGTCTTTTGGCATAATAACTCTGGAGGTGGTGGATGGGCATCTGATATCGGAGGTGTTGGATTTGAAAAGAGGCCTCATTTGCATAACGAAGGGTCGAGAAAATAATGGATTCGCAAACCTGATAATTCTTTAACTCCAAGCTTCTTGCTTTCTCGCTCTCTCTCTCTCTCTCTCCCCCCCTCTCTCTCTCTCTCTCTCTCTCTCTCTCTCTTTGTATCTCCTTCTTATCATACGTTCCACCCTTAAACTATCCCCAGCATTCCCCCACCTCTCCAGCCGTTCTTATTGTCACCCCAATCCGATCCGCTCGGCCCCAATTTGTCGGTTCTTGAGGGCCCGGGTCGCGCGCGCCTTGACAAATGTCCCACAGTTGGCACGACAAACGCCCCGGGGCTACGAACCTTGGGCCCCCAACTCGGCCAGGCCGTAACAGAATATGCCAAAAAGATTCATAGGTCGTTGATAGTAGTACAATAAAAAGAGAATGTCTTTCTTAGGCCTAAGCTTAGTCTTCGGCTTAGGTTCGGGCTTCGGCTTAGGCTTAGGCTTAAGTTTAGGCTTCGGCGTAGGCATAGACAAAGGTTTAGGCTTAGGCTTAGGCTTAGGCAAAAGCTTGGCTTAGACTAGACTTTTATATGTTCCCCGTATCCACTAACCCCAACCTGTTGCCCAAATCGGGTAAAGCCAGGCGGAGTTGTGTCGAAGCTCGGGTGGCGGCAGGTGTTTGTGTTTGTTCTGATCGCACGTTACTCACTCTGGGACAGGTGAGTCAAGTCGATTGCCAAACAATTGGGTCTCTCCCCGCTCTCTGGTACCCCGCGCGCGCTGATTGTCGGCGCCGCTCATTTGAATGTGCGCGAGGCGGTATGAGCCTGTACTCGATGATTTTCCGTTAATACGTACAATCGCGTAGTCGTTGGCACGCTCCCTTTACGTCCCTGACATTTCAGGAAGCAATGAATCTTGTCGGCACTTTGCTGAATTGCCCGGCCACATGTCACCCACCTCGAATCCGATTCCTCAAACCGTAAACCTCAGTCACCCGAAATGGGGGTGTTCCCAAAAAAAGACTAGGGTGCTCGGCGAGACCTGCTGGCGCCATATTGGGAACGGGTGCCAAATGGTGGGAATTGGCATGGAAATGGGATTTAAGCGTTGAAGCTAATACGTAGGCTTAGGCTTGGGCTTAGGCTTGGGCTTAAGCTTAAATGGAAAGTATCACTCCACACTCACCAAGTACGATTTCTCAATTTCACCTCCAAGCTCGAGGCTAGCCAGGGTGGGCGCCCCAAACTCGATTAGTCGACTCCATTTTGGGGCTCTGCAAGTGGTGGAGACATACGCCTAGGGGCTACTCCAGCGGATCCGGCTAATGCACTTTGTTGTCCCAGGTGGATAATGGGAATCCCGAGCGGCCATAGGAGGGTTTGGGGAAATGGATTAAAGGGATGTGGAAGACAAAGTTTCAGCACGTTTTCCCAGAATACTACTGCTAACGTCTTGAAAGACCAGATAGCCCGTTAAGGCCTTGTAAGAAAGGACTGAAAAATCGAGGTAAATTCGCTTGCCTTCTCAATCCCTTCAAAAGGACGATTAGCAAGCAGGTGGAAGGGTTTTCCCTCGATTCCAGGGTCACTCCCAAATTCGATCATCGCCCCAGGTAGGGATTACAGTTTTTACGAGCCCCACGCAATTGCATATGACTGCTCTTACGAGGGCAAGGCCGTAGGGGCGGCTGGTTTTGGGTTGGGGACAGGTCTAATTTATTAAAGGTTGTGTTAGATGGAAGCATAGAAATTATGCCAACTTGGTCCCAGGACTAGGTTAGGTTAGGCTTATGCTTTGGTGGTAGCCATTAAACAAGGTCACGCTGGTTTTTAAAGGTATCCTAACGGCAAAAATCTATAGGATCTTTTCCGAAACCCCGGTCTTATTCTTACTCTCCCACGAAGACCACCCGATTTTTTATCCACAGAGCATGTGCTACCGGTGCGGCTTGCGTAATGACAAGGGCCTACCACCCACCCGCACTCATCATCATCAGCTGGATCCTCACAAATCCCCCCTACAACCCCACTGGCCCTAGAACAAACTCTCTGTCTTTCTCTATGTCTCTGCCTCTCTCACACTCTCTCTCCGTCTCCTCTCTCTCTCTCTCTCTCTCGCCACCTCTAATATCCACTCGACGATTAGACCATGCCTTAATGCCTTGGCTGTGCCCCTTGAGGGGACTTGCATAATGGGAGTCGCGCGCGTATCGATATGGGCTGTGTTTGGCTTGCGCAAATGGACCATGAAATCGAGAGGCCCGGAATTTTGGAGTCGCGTGTGGATGCCGTAACATCGGATTAACGGGATTTGGGCATACAATGCTAGCACTAAAACTTCAGGATGTTGTCATTACATACTAGAAACTTTTAAAACTGTCAAACCTATAGTTTAAGGATCTTAATGAAATCGTCAAGTCCTAATCCCCGGCTGACCACACCCCACAAGGGAATGCCCTTGGCGAGGGCCGGAAGTGGTGCCATTTGTCAATGCCACCCCGACGACACAACGCATCAGAAGATGCTATCGCCCCTAGCGACCGATCAAGTATAATCCGAAGATGAAGGAGGACTTTAAGGGCTTTTAAAGAGACCGGGAAGTCTAGGGATTACCTAATCAATTTTGGCAGAATGACAATCACTCAAGTTTGGAGTTGCCGATGGTAGCACACCCTTTAGAAGGCTCTCTCTGGAGGCTTAGGCTTAGGCTTAAGCTCAGGCTTAGGCTTCAGTTTTCTGACACACTAGCTTCTCTCTGCTATACCCGTATAGTTATCCAAGAGTAAGAGTAAGCCTCGCCCCGAGTCAAACCCATTTGCACATAATTAGCCGCCGAAAACTTGCCTCTCCCGGGGTACCCTCCGAATTCTATTAACTCAGCTAGCCACTAGCCTCGCCCGGGGGGGAAGGGGGAAAAGGGGGGAAAAAAAAGGAAGGGGGGGGGGGGGCCCCCCCCCCCCCCCCCGGTGCCATGAGTAATTCACCCGTGTGCCCGGGCCAGGGGCTACGCGCCGGCTCCTGGTCTCCGTTTAATTATTTAGCCAAATAGGGTCTGGCAGCAGGGAGGGTAGGGGAGGAGGAAGGTTCTGTGGTGTGGGAAGTTGCAAGAGCAAACATTACGCAAGGCGGAGGAGCATGAAATAGTGATAGCTGAGCGAAGAAAACGTTACGGAGCTATGAACTATGAGGTTGTTGCTCGAATATGATCAAAAAAAGCTTTGTGAGCGTCAAATGATTTTTGGAAAGCTTCATATCTCACGGAAATATAAAAATTTACAAAGAAGCAGTTCTTGATGAAAAATTGCCAAAAAAACCTTTGAGCTAAGCATCAGTTGGTGTGAATTGGAAAAGCTTATTACACATCCTATTATATTGAAATATAAACATGCTCAAAAATTCAAAAATGAGGGAGAGCGAGTTCCAGCTCAAAAATAATAAAAAAATCCTAATTTTAAGCACCAGAACCCGAGCGCAAATATAGAACACTTGTCAGAAATTAGCGAAATACTACAAAAGTAATACCGACCTGTACCACTCCAGCCCCTTGTCGTAGTTCTTGTCGAAAAAATGGACCTCGGGGCCCGGGGCGTGAATTTTTGGGTTTAACCTCAAGAATTCGAGTAGCGCTCGGGTTCCGGCCTGAAAAATTGAGTCATAGGTTTATCGACACCTTGATACCTTCTTAACACCAATAATAATGGCTGTAGGTAGTCGTTTCCTAGGTTTTTCCGGAAGTGGTGCTGCCAACACGGAAGCTAGTATAAAAAGTAGTAGAAAAATCGGTCCTCCACTTGGTGACATCTAAAATAAAGATAAAGCATTAATGAAAAGGTATAGAAAATATAAATGTTAAAGAATTGAAGGTCCAAAACAAAGGTACGAACGAAAAGTCGTACCCTTTCAAGGCGAGACGCCGAACTTTGACTCATAGTCCGAGGTATTTGAATGAAATGTCGGAGGAGGGCGGAAAGATGGTACGCCCAGTTTTTCGACACTATATAATTTTCTCTCCTTAATGCCTTTAAAATGCAGACTCTAACCGAGGGAAACAAAAAGATATCCAAACAGTAACACCCAACCGGCCGAGAAGTGGCTAACGGTCTCCCCCTAATCCGAAGGGCTCCTAATTGCTAGTGGATAGAAAGGATATGGTAAGGGAGAGGCCCTTAGATCAGCATATGCTAATTCGAGGACATTCAGAGGGTAAGGGGATACATCCACTTGGCATGGTGGAGGAGAGAAGGGCGGGGGTTGAACCCGGGACCCGGGGGTTGAGACTCCGGGGGGCGGAGCCTAGCGGACTGGCACTGGGGAGGAGGGATGGAAATGAGGGAAGTACCGTATTTAGACGCAGTTTTTTTAAATGGGAATACATGCAATGTTTTCGGCAAATTATGCTGAAGGAGATGAAACTCCAGAAAAGTGGCACGGGTTGGGGGGGCGGGAGAGATTTTTACATGTTTGACCGCGTCTATTGATGATAGCGAGACTATTTTTCAGGGTAGATTGCTTCGAGAAATTATGCTTAAGAAAGAAAACCGGGACAAAAAGAGTGAGCGAGATGGAGAGCGAGAGAAAAAGTGAGAGAGAGAGCGAGAGAGAAAGATAGAGACAGAGGGGGCAAGAGAGCGAGAGAAGGGGAGAGAGGGGAGGGAGGCAGTCAGAGAGCGAGAGAGATGGAGAGAGATCGAGCCAAAAAAAAGAGAGAAAAACGTAAGTGGCGAGATCTGAAATCCACCGTACCCTGACCATCGAGGCCCACCCCAACCTCCCCGCCCCCTTTTGCACTAATTTTTTCTAGCCGCGAGGCTAGCCCCGAGCCCGCGTAAAAATCGTCCCGATCTCCAGGTGGTTCTCCCCCAACGCCTACTCGTCTCCATTCAAATCGGAAAGTGCAAGCCCGAACAAAAACGCGGACATCGACATGGCGCAATTTGGCCGATTTTCCCGAATGCCCCTCGCCCATAATTTTCTGGGAATGTCGTGCGATGGGGATATGAATAGCTGCCGAGCACGGGGTACTCCTAAGAATTGGATGTCGTGCTCATAATTTTGAGCTAGACGTCCTGGAGGTCCTATGCCTAAAACGGCAACTTGGGTGGCCGTGAGGGGAGCCTAGTGAGTTTTACGACCGGCTGTAACTTGGGACCACCTGCACTTCGGCGCCTTTAATTAGGTGGAGCGGAAGGAGTGGGTTTTTAGGGGGAAGGGATAGAAAAAAGGCAAGAATAAGTACGGAGTTTTTTAAGCAGATTTTTTTCAAAATTCTTGCATTTCATTCCGAAATTTTGCATTATAAATAGTTTTTACCAAAAAAGCTGACATTTTTCTAGGCTTTTAAAATTCTCAAAGCCTCTAAAACCGTATGTTTCCAGTTCAGAAGTCATCTAAAACGTCAAGGTATCTGGATTGGTATCCAAATTTAGCCTCAACTACATCGTCGAGCTAGCGATATGTCACATAAGCGGTTACATACATGCCTTTGCTGCCCTGAGGGCATAATTAGGGACATAGTGAGTGATTGGAGTCTTTAGACTTCTTTCGTCTCTCTCTCTCCCTCTCGCTCTCTCGCTCTCTCTCTCTCTACCGGCTAATCGCCTATATCGAGCTCCCGTGGGGGACTTCAAAGCACTCCGGGTGTGAGGGTACTTCTCATCCCGATCTCCAGGCCTCGGGTTTAGGGCTCCGGCCTAATAATTACGCCAACCTGCCGCGCTGCGAAATTGACCCCCACGATTGGACGCGTTTACCGCATATGGGATTAGGTCAGCGGATTTGGGCGGATAGCGCGCGATAGAGAGAGCGAGATATAAAGTGAGAGAGCGAGATAGAGGCAGTAAGTGAGTGAGAGAAATAAGGGGAAACCGCTAATGCGCCAGTTTTTAAGTTATGATACATTAATGCAATGTTGCCTGAAACAAAAATAGAACCTATATATTGCTACTGGAAGCACGGCCCTATTTACCTCCACTACTCTAAAATTTATACCCGCCGCTTGGCCAGACCTGTGGGACCCAAATATCGAAAGTATTCGTCCAAAATTCGACTCCAAAACTTAGAAGAAAATATATTATCAATGCGCGAACGTGGCGGAATGACTCAAAGTCCTCTGGTATCAACCCGGTAGCCGTAGGGCTTGTAAACCCCCATTTTTTTAGCTCCCAGGCCCCGATTAGATACCAGAATACTTTGTCGTAACCCTGTTGTCCGTCAGCTTCGATCAGAAAATGCCATCTCTCGCACCCGGTCCATTATCGTGAAAGTGTGATGGGTGAACGTGTGCATAAATTCTCCACGGCCCACACACACCTTATCGCACATTTACATCACCGGGCATCTCGATAAATGGCAGACACGTTGTTGCATGGCATTTGTGTCCCGGGGTATGGACACCATTTTACACAAAAAAAGGGTGAATCGGCGGCTAAGTGGTGGGACTTTTTGAGGAGATATGATGTGTTAGAGGAGTTTAAACATATTTCCTATATTTCTCTCTCTCTTTCTCTCTCTCTCTCTCTCGCTTTCTCTCTCTTTTTTTTTGTTCACACTGAAACACACTGTTTCTCTTACATACAGAGACTCGCACTATCTCAGACCTCACTCTCTCACACTATCTCACTCAAGATCTTTCTCAGTCTCTATCTCTCGTTCTTTCTCTTATACAGGTTCTCCCTCTCATACTCACTCGATATCTCTCTTGCTCTCGCCCTGTCCCTCACTCTTGCCCTCGTCCTTTCGTTCTCACGTTCTCTAACTCGCGAGAATCACTATCAGCCAAAAAAAGGCAATCCGATCAGTTTATGGGCGTCTTTTCTTACTCGATCTTCAAAAATGGCTCAACCCTCTACAATAACCCTCGATTAGCCTAACCTAAATTGGGTGGGATCATCGATGCGGAATCGAGGAGGAGGTGGGTCCCGAGGGGATTTTCTGGAGGAGCCCCCTCCACTCCTAATTAGACGATTCGCCCCCTGAAAGATGGGGGAACTAGCATCTTCTGGCAGGGATTGGAGGGCAGGTGGCAGGCCAATAGGCCCCGACTGCCGAGCCGGTAAAAAATGAACTGCTTTTGTGCCAGTTGAGGCGTGAAATTTGGGGACAAATGGACTGGTTGAAGGCGGGGGGGGGGGAGGGGGTAAGGGAAAAGGTATCAAAAAGGCACACTAAAAATGTAAAATAAACTATTGAATTTCCTAAGCTCCTTGGAATGTCGAGAAATACCTTCCTGATCGGGGCAGCTAGCAGAGAACTTTTGCGAAAACTTTCAGAGGGTAAAGGTATCGAAAAAGCATCTTAAGGGATTGTGATCTAGCAGAGAAACGTCACAAAACGAGTTTCTCCTTGCTGAAAAATTGAATTTTTCACATTTAGTGACTTTTCTCGCTTCATAAGCCTTTTTGAAACCAATAAGAGTGAAAATAAAATGCGTTTTTAGTCACGAATGCAAGAGTTTTGGTTTAATGTTTTCTAAGCGACATTTTCAGCGATTTTTAAAACAGTGGAAAAGGTGAGCGAGCAAGTTTTAGGCCCGATACTGTGGCTCCAATAATATTAAAAACAATACTTGTAGCCATTTTTATGCCAAAGGAGCTGGAGCTAATACTGTTTATGCATTCGGTATTCTCCCCCATCATGCGTTTACCTTGCCCCCTTTCATCCATACCGATACCCATGCCCTGACCCGCTTTCCCCCCGTTTTTACGATCAACCAATGCGCCCAACCCTCATTGGAAAAAGAAGAACAAGTGAATAATAGTAGAATCATCTGTAGATTCATTCGGTCATCTCCGGAATGGATGAATCTCTGAATGATGCGCCGAATGGGACACCGGAACACAGCGACATCTACACATTATAACGGATGGAACGAGAGCGGGAAAAGAGAGAGAGAGAGAGAGAGAGAGAGAGAGCGTTTGAGAGAGAGAGAATTAGTATCACGTAAAATAAATGGGATGTCAAACATCTGGGGTAACGGGCGGATAGCTTTCAGGTCGTACCTTGGAACGTCGTGTAGTTTTGAAGGATATTCTGGCTTGTTCATTAATTTATAACCATCTTAAAACTTGTTAATGGACCTTTTGAGGCTTTTTAAATTTAAAGCGATAAATCGAGCCATTCCGAGTCTGGATTTTGGCAGCTATGGGAGACACCAAACTCGAACGGATTTTTGGTGCATCCTCAGATTTCTTGATCTTAAACGTATTTTGGTGCTGTTTGGAGCTGTTGAGAACCTAGCTAGCGGAAGGGATTTAGGAGTTGTTTTTTACAGAAAATTATCAAAATTTGAACACTTTGGCCAATTTCTTAAATTAATGGGTATAGAAAGACATCCCTTTAAAGTTTAGAATGTTTCAACAGCTGTCCCACCCAAAACTACCACCTTTAATTAGCATTTTCAGGCTCCTTGTCGAGTCCACGCGACCTCATCCATCTTCGACCTATGCCCATTATCCGAATGAGCCGTTCGCTCCCGGCTAAAATATGTACTGCCGAAGCCCGTTGCCGCTATTCCATATGCTCGAGTTGTGCTCCCTAGAAGATGCCTGGTGACAAGCTAATGGCCGGTCGGAGAGTGTGTACGTCTGTTCCTCCAGACAGACACACACAACCAACCTCCGGGTAAGGAAAAGGAGCCTCGGAAGACGAGATAATGAGATGCTGACAAGAATGGGGCACCATGAGGCGGATCAGCAGCACCAACCCGGGGGTGTGGGGGGAGGTTGCGTAAAAACAAGGATGTCTTCAAGGAGGGGAAGGTCGTTTTTGGATTTGGAACTTCGGAGAGTGTACTTCAAGGCCAT